CCGGCTTCTTCTTGTGCCGCGATTTGATCGAGATCGTGTTTTGTAAGCTGTACTGGTTACTTATTCAGTGCGGGTTATCAACGTTGCATGGTGGGTTTGAGTCGTCATGGCATGCTATTTCCGTTTGCGACAATGGGCTCCGCTGGTTCCGGTACGTGACACCCGGCATACTTCCGTGATGCGGTTTTTGCTCCTGTCATTAGTGTGTTTTAAAGGTGTCGCGTTAGGAAAATCTTCTGGTGGTGCATTACGTTATTTTTTAATGTACAATTAGTTTCGAGATCCAGTTCCTTTTTTTAAACTTTACATAGTGCTCCATAGTAGCATTCGCGTTGGGTGTAAAACGGAAACTTGTATGACTAAGTCCGTGAACCTCCGAATACTTCAATTTGATTTTTCAATCGGTAGTACTGTATTCTAATCTCACATGTGAACCTTACTATGCGTTTGCTTGAATTTTATGGTTAAAATAGCATTCATTGTGTCCGGCATGGCTTTAAAGTTTCAAGTTCGTTCCAACTTCCAATCCCGTTCTATTCATTGCGAATCGGATTTTTTATTCCCACGTGAATACCATAATTGGTTAGAAACCGTTAGATGTCCCTTTTATGCAAATATAAGACACCCTTTGATTCTGGAATCCACCCTTATTTCGCATCGAATTGAAGTTCGCAAGTACGGTAAATCGGAAATGCGCTATTTTAATGTTTTTTTGTTTGTTTTTTTTTTACAAGAAGTCAGGAAATATAGTTTTTGAGGGGTGAAGCACAGCATTTCGCCTATACATGCATTGGACAATTTAATTATTGTATGTTCTTATACTGTATGTGAAAATGAACGTCCATGGAATCAACACTGACTCACTTCGAGGAGAACTTGTTGTTGGAGAAAGTTGTCACGTTTCGCTTTTTAATCCGGTTTTCTGCTGTGTGTTGGTTCAGATCAGAGTGGATTGTCACCGTATTCAGCAGTTGAAGGATGTGCAAATTTTAAGTAATTCGTTGGTTCGGAGATGTGCTGTTATTCTCGAAATTAGCAGAAATAAATGCATCCAATTGGGACTCTGATATACTGATATGAGGGATAGTTTTGGTTGAACAAAAGAATCATTTGAATACTGTATTATGTTCGCTAAGTTGTCTGACCATTCTGGTCTGGGAAACAAGTGATGGAGCAGATAGGGTTCAACCAGTAGAGTATACAATGTAGGGAAAGCTGGAAGAGCTAGCTCGGTATTTCCAGTTGGTACCCAGAGAGTGACATAGAAGCGCAGCGCGCATTCGTCGCTTCCAAGAGGGCTGGTTTGGGGCGAACGTGACGAGCCCTCCCTCCCTGTATTGCGTCTAGAACATTCCCAGGCGGTCAATAAACTTCGTTCCTAGCCTGCCGGGTTTCCTCAGTTCATTGTGTGATACGTTTCAGGTCGTTTCTGTGCGGACTAGACGCTCGTTGAAGTGCAATCGTTTCTTTACTTGTGAAACTCCTTGTGATAATATCATCTTAGCTATGGCAAAGGTCGGAATTAACGGATTCGGTCGTATCGGCCGCTTGGTGCTTCGTGCTGCCTTGTCCAAGGGAGTCGAGGTGAGTTNATGTGTCACGTATTTTATATCCGGCCGCCATATTACGAGCGCGATTGGATACTGGAAGTACTGCACTAAATGACTCGTTCTTCGACGAAGGATTTCTTGATCCGCGAATGGAAACGCGCTGAAATTATTGTCATTATTTTTAGCTTGAAAATAAATCGTCCGACTGTTTCACTTTCGGAAGAATCTCTTTCGAAAGTTCGAGACCATTCTAATCTTAATCCTATTAGGAGAAAAAATGTGTCGAATTTTATCATTTGATTATATTCTTTCATCCGGGAAGCATAATTCTGCACGTCTGATGACACATTTGCATATTTATTCAAGACCGAATCCGCATTCGTAAAACACTGTACTTTACTTAAATTAATGGAAATGACCAGAAAAGCGATTACCCTGAAAAGAAAAAAACATATAGAAAGCTACGAATGCAAATATTGTAACATTAGAGGTACCATTACGAAATTGAAAATAGCATGAGCAAAATATATCCGGTACTGAGGCATTCCTAGTTAATTGTACAGTATATTCTTTTCTACTCCCAAAAGTGCCCAATTGCTTCTAATTCGTTTACAAGTCGCCACCAAAACGAGATACACTTTTAAAGATGAAGTTACTTGTTCGATCTTTCGAAACAGTCGTCATAGAGTTGTTGCAGTGTTATTTCGTCATGGAAAATCGATTAAATTTTTTCTGATTTCTACAAGGTCGTTGCTGTCAATGATCCCTTCATTGATGTGGACTACATGGTCTACATGTTCAAGTACGATTCCACTCATGGACGCTACAAGGGCGAGGTGCACAAGGACGGAACTGATCTCGTCGTCGATGGTGAGTTATTTTCCCAAAGCTTACTTCAGCCGTTAAAGGATCCCGACGAGGAATTATGCATCAGCGACATCTACCGAATTATTTGTCAAGTCCGAGTTCAGGTTTAGCTGAACAGACATCAGTAATTTTTTTCCGCTTGCAGATGACGCTGTTGCATGAGTTCCTTCAGTGGCTTCCTACGTGATAATCGTTTCTGCGTACCTAGAAGTCTCCATCATTGTTCATGAATGTGCGTACTAATTTCCTTCAGGCAAGAAAATCAAAGTTTTCGGTGAACGCGATCCCTCGAACATCGCATGGGGCTCTGTGGGTGCCACGTACGTCGTCGAGTCCACTGGAGTGTTCACTACTATCGAGAAGGCTGGGGCACATTTCAAGGGAGGCGCAAAGAAGGTCATCATCTCTGCACCGTCTGCCGATGCGCCCATGTACGTTATGGGAGTCAACCATGACAGTTATGACCCGAAGAACAACGTTGTCTCAAATGCCTCGTGCACGACCAACTGCCTGGCTCCGCTTGCGAAGGTTGTCCACGACAACTTCGAAATTGTTGAGGCACTCATGACCACTGTTCACTCCATCACCGCCACTCAAAAGACGGTTGATGGGCCGTGTGGAAAGGTAAAATGTTATCCCAGGGTTATTTCGACTTGAGCATTGACAGATCATTTTGAAAGCTGTTCCTGATTATTGTTTCAACGATTTTGTGTTAGGCGCCGTTGCATTAATGTAAACCGATCTCTCGACGAATTTTTGGTCAGCTAGCGAAACCTCATACAGTAGCATTTTGTTGCAATGGAGCATTTGGGACCTTAAAACAGTTTTTTTATACGTGCAAAAATGTGAAACAAAATTGAAATAACGTGGCATTTTCACAGGGATCAAGTAAACTTTTTAAAATAATTTTTTATGACAATATTGTATTGAACTACTGTACTTCCAATTGAATACCATTTGCCCTCATGCAAAACATGACCCTTCATTGTTCAAGAAAATGTATCACTTCATAAGATGTGCAACCCTGTCTAATGTGAAACATGAATTAAGGTATCTTAGGGAATAAGTGATGAAATTTAGGCAAGTAAAATTTGAATTCAGTTCTTCATTTGTTTCACATTGTCATTGGCCATTTTTATTTAAGCCAAATTACTGTACATTACTGTATACATATACTTTAACTCATTCTAGTCCCAAAAAGTCTTTTCTTTCAAATTCATGAATTATGATGTACTGTGCATGCATCAACATTTTGAAAATTGTGTGCTGAAGTATGACACATTGCACTATTAGACCTACATTGTATTTCACTGACCTGCTCCAGTCCCATGCAATATAGGCAGACTCTATACGACTAACTTCTGAAGACCAGAAACAATTGAGGATAGAGAGCGCAGTGGTACCGTAGGAATCCATTGTACAGATACAATTTTTGCAGACAAGATTTTTATGGAGATTCCACCTGTATACAGTAATGTATTTTGCAGGCCATTGCTTATGAGCCAATTCAGTCGTAATATAGTCCCTTGTCATGTTCGTTTTTTATTACTGAGCCAATTGGTTGGATTCTCAACTTGAAGCTTTGGCTGAGCATGACTCAACTACATTGACAACTCATGACTTTCTCAAAGTCTTCATATAAGGGTTGAACCTTTTTGAGTCAAATTTCAAAGGAACCTGCAAAAAATTAAACTTGAGGTTTTTGAGCTGAGGGACCAAGTATATTTCTTGTGGAAACTAGAATTGCAGGAAATGGTGTCCTTCTGGGCCTTGAATCTCTTCTTGAATGAGTTGACAGGATGTTAACCTGGAGGCAAGGGTTCATCAGCCCAAGTAGTCTTTCACTTTCTTTTGAGACACAACACGTGTCTTTTATTAATTCTTCTCTTTCCTTTGTCAAGAAAATGGCCTAAAGGCATCAACAATCAGAGTTATGGGGGTTTTAGAGGAAAATTTTTCAAGTTAAAGAGGTTTTCAATGCATTGCTTCTAATGGAATTCAAATTGGGAATTGAAAAAATGCAACTTTGGGATGTATTTGAATTACAGAGGTTAGACTTGATGAGGTTCAACTATATAACCTGGGATCAGCATCAGTGTGCCTCCATTCTAATAATGAATTTTAGTTTTAATACTGTATTTGTAAATGTACATAGCTCAACTTCAAGATATACGAACATTTAGAAAATTTAAAATTTTTTTCCATTCTATGAAATCTTGGAAAAGTGTCCATATATCTAGTCACTGTCTGGATTGTTGGGGCAGATTTTTCAAGTTCAAAGTGTCCCTATGTCGAAATGTCCATGTGTTGGGTCCCACTGTAACTTGTACCTTGTTCTCGTAGACATGGCGCGATGGTCGTGGAGCTGCCCAGAACATCATCCCAGCCAGCACAGGTGCTGCCAAGGCTGTCGGCAAGGTCATCCCGTCATTGAATGGCAAACTCACTGGCATGGCTTTCCGCGTGCCGACGCACGATGTGTCCGTGGTTGATCTCACGTGCCGCCTGGGCAAGGAATGCTCGTATGACGAGATCAAGGCGGTGCTGAAGGCGCAGGCTGAGGGCCCGCTCAAGGGAATCTTGGGCTACACCGAGGACGACGTCGTGTCCTCTGTGAAGTAACCGCTGTGAGTGAGCAGGTAGAAGCTGCGGTTCCGGCCGTAGGTCAACTTGTTCTTGAAACAGTTCGAATAAAGCACCATTCACTCTACGGCATGTCAAAATTATACGATTACGGCACATTGATTAATGAAATCTACAACAGCATCTTTTGTGTAGGCCACCTGTGAGACCTAGACATAAATCTACAGTGTGCGGTAAATTCTTGTTGAAAAAAAAAAAATTGGGAACTTCAAGGAAAGTTTGTAAAAAAAAATAATTTGAGATTTTCAAAATTAATAACTCAAAAACTTGTTCACATCAGAAGTGCTTATAATCAATTTGATATTGCTTTTCTCAGATTGTTCAATATTGTTCGAACATTTTTTGTACGAAGATTTTACTGTACTGTGAAAGTTACACCTTTTTTTCTTGGACGTGAAATTCTTTGTAATTCTACATCTTACTGACAATTCTTGAATGATCATGCTTCTTTTTACATCTATTTTAGGTACGACAACGAATTTGGCTACTCGTGCAGAGTCGTCG